ACGAACGTGAAGAACTTACAGCAGCATACAAAGAAGCAGAAGCTGTAAGTAATAAAAACTTATTTAGAATTATTTTTATTTAGCTATCCGAAATGTTTGCTCTTTAGGGCCGTAAAGCTGAAGAACAAAGATCTCAACGTTTAACTTCAGAGTTGGCACAATTTAGACATGAAGCTGAAAAACGTTTACAAGAAAAGGATGAGGAAATTGAAGCAATTCGGTAAGTATCGTAATAAATGTTTTTTTTTAAGTAAAATTTCTTAATATCAAAATATTTAGATAGGTATCTTATTTCATTTTGCACTTTTTAAATAAATTCCTGACCACGATCCTTACAAAAATAATTTGTATAGAAATTCAGTCTATATAATTTAATTTGTTAGGCGGGAAACTGCGAAATTTTTACTATAACATAATTTGGTAGAAAACATTTTCCTTATCTGTCTCCTTTTAATTAATTACATACGGACTTTTGGCACCCTCTTAAGTGTATACACCTACAGGTGATTTCAGATGTAATGAAACAGTTCTCATACAGTGAATATACTAAACATGTTGTTCCGTGTTATTATTTTTACAACACACTATATACATGATTGCAAGTTAAAATTAGTGCTCCCGGGAAATAAGTAGCTGCCGGCATTAAAATAGCTCTCTATTCTGTATATAAAGAACGTGACGGTCTGAAGAAATGACCCTTTAAACCTTTGTTGCAACATATTAAAGAAAATGGTGGGGCAATCAAGTGCATCTAAACGCCTTAGCGAACGTGTGCCAAGGCTTTTATCTACAGCTAAGTCTATTTATGAAGACAATTACAGTCTTGGAGCAAACTACTACAAACCAGTGATTGATCATTTGAACAAAAAAGATATTAGAAAAGCAACAGTAAGTACATCCTCTTGCTTATCCACAAGAAACAGTGTGATTGAGTTGAATAAAAAAACCAAAGAGATTCTAAAAGATTCTAAGTTTCACACGAAATCAGTTTTTCGACCTTGTACTCTAGCAGAAGTGAGTAATTCATTGGAAAAGGTGAATCCAAGAAGAAAAAAGACAAGGAAAGAAAAAGAATTAGTAAGACAATTAAAGCAGCTAAAAGACAAAATGGGAGATGCAGCTCACGGTTACGACTCAGATTTGGACAAAAAGGTTGAATATGAGCTAAAGGCAATGCAGAAATTTCTCAGAGGTAAATCAGCCGATGGTATAGCTCACCAATTACTTTCTGAAAGCAGAAAAAATGTAGCCATTGCCCAAGAATTAGATGCAATTGAGAAGCAGCAACAGTCCGTTTTTGCACCTATGTGCGCTTTAAAAACGACATCAAGAGCTCATCTCAAGGTAATGGCATCTCGTATTGATAAAAAACTTGAAGAAAACTTAATTCGGCCATTGGAAGATCTCAGTGTCGATCTTAAAGGATTCAATCGGAGAACAGCTGAAATTTTTTACGATAAAAGGTGATTGAGAAGGTGACCTTCCTTGGTAAATTTATGTTGCTCTTTAAATGGTTAGTTTGTTTAACACTGTTTATCCTTCACCATACGAAATCTATTATTAAACATGTATTTCTACGATTAATTATTTCGAATTTATTAACATCCAACAGATGTAGAAAAAAAAAATGTAATAGAATTTAAATCGCTGTTAGTGTAATGTTAATTGTGTTAATTATAGTTAAACAACAAAAGTATCCATTGTTTTCTATTATTTTCAAAATAAACTAAATGAATTAATTCTACATTGCAGCAAGCAAACCAGCTTGGAAATTGAACAGCTGAATGCTCGTGTAGTTGAAGCTGAAACAAGATTAAAAACTGAAGTTCAGCGTATCAAGAAGAAGTTGCAGATTCAGATAACGGAATTGGAAATGTCCTTAGACGTGGCTAATAAGACAAATATCGATCTTCAGAAAACGATTAAGAGACAGTCTCTTCAACTAACCGAGATTCAAGCACATTATGACGAAGTTCAACGTCAACTAAACGTCACATTGGATCAACTTAGCGTTTCTCAAAGAAAAATTCAAGCATTGACTGCTGAAGCTGAGGAGATTAGGGGTAATTATGAGGCTGTAAGTATTACTTTTTGAATCTATTTACAATTTAAAAAATTATGAAAACTTAAACAGGCCCTTCGTGGAAAGAAAGCTGTTGAACTGCAATATGAAGAAGCCGTTTCACGTGTAAATGAGCTGCAAACAATTAATGTAAGCCTAGCTTCATCAAAGAGCAAATTGGAACAAGAGTTGGCCCAAGTTGCTGCTGATTATGACGAAATCACTAAAGAACTTAGAATATCCGATGAACGTTATCAAAGAGTACAGAATGAACTTAAACACACAGTGGAAATTCTTCATGAGGAGCAGGTAAATATGTGCATGTATTGTTTTTGTATTTGAAATTGAAAATACACGAAGAAAACTAAACTTCATAAATTGTGAAACAAATCAAGCTTATTCATATTTTACATAAATACATTTTAACTAAATCTTGTTATACTATACATTGTTTTTCTTTTAATGGCAATATTTTGTTCAGAAGTAATGTCTTTTGAAATAACAAAAAAACGATAGTATCATATAAATATTTAAAGGCTTAGTCCAAGTAGCAACTTCAGTTATTTTTGTTTAAATACCAATATTTGACAAAATTTAATGAGCATTTGTACAACATATTTCTAGTAACATACATTTATACTAACATATCATTTTGCACGTCTATATAGTTCAAATAGCCTTTACGCAAGTAAAGAGTTACTTTGTGAAATGCGAAGTGTTTTTATATATTTATATGATAATACACATATGAATAGTCTTCTTAAGTAAAATACTTTCAACATTTATACTTATACGAAGAGGTCAAATTGGTTTTTAAAAAACTTATATCAACTCATTTTTTTAAATCTAATCATTTTATTTTATGAATTTAAATGGAGTAGGTATAAGTATCAGTTCTGTTGATTGTTATAGGAACGCGTTGTCAAAATTGAAGCAATCAAAAAGTCCCTCGAAATTGAAGTCAAGAATCTATCTGTTCGTTTGGAAGAAGTTGAAGCCAATGCTATTGTTGGTGGTAAGCGTGTTATTAGTAAGTTAGAAGCTCGTATTCGGGATATGGAACTCGAATTGGACGAGGAAAAGAGACGCCATGCGGAAACAATTAAAATCTTACGCAAGAAGGAACGCACTGTAAAAGAAGTGATGATCCAATGCGAAGAAGATCAAAAGAATATCCAAATATTGCAAGAAACATTAGAAAAGGCATCCCAGAAGGTCAACTTGTATAAACGTCAGCTTGCCGAACAGGTATTTATTACTTTGCATAAAAATAGGTAGGTACTCTGGATAAGATAAAAAAATTCAAAAGTGTAAATCAATATTTATTCCGATTTATTTTTGACTCGTAATACTTCTTGGCCCGCAGTAGGTTTTAGGGAGACACTGTGCTGTTAAAGCAAATGCTAACTAAAATATAATAATTAAGTCTTGAAATTGGTAAGAAGTTACTTTATATACTAATGTGTATATATGTAAATACCTTATTTGAAGGAATAATGTGCAATTTACATTACTGTTATTTTTTAGGAGGGTATGTCGCAACAAAGTGTAACTCGCGTACGTCGTTTCCAAAGGGAATTGGAAGCAGCTGAAGATCGCGCCGATACAGCAGAGAGCAGTTTATCTTTGATCCGCGCCAAACATCGCACCTTTGTAACAACAAGCGGTGTTCCCGGCTCACAAGTATACCTTGTACAAGAAACTAGAACTTCCGAAATATAATTTATAGATTTTTAGTTGAAATGAAAAAATAAAAATACAGTAAACGCTCGCGATTAACTGCCACCTGTTACTTAAAAAAAAAGAAAACATTAAATTATTGCTATCACTTCTGTTTTCAATGCTGGTGCTATTATTACTACTTATACTTTTTTCGCTGTCTCTTTCAGGTTATAAATGTGTAATATTTATTCTTAGACAAACATTTTAATGTTTATTTCGGTTGATTTAAAATTATCGATTATTCAGGTATAGTTTGTTTTTAACCGTGTCTCAATATAAAACCAATAAATTGTATATCGATGATTTCCATGTTTTATTAACGAAAAATGTATTAAACAGTATATGTATGTTAAGGTAAAAAGTTTAGGATAATAATTGATGGCAATAGCATGGCCTTATTATTAATGTAAAACAAGATTTGAATAAAAAAAGTTCATATAGTAGTTGAATGAATTCTATAAGGGAAAAAGTGCAACATAAAAATTACTTATATGAAAAATTTATTTATTAAAAAGATATCATGTTAATGAAACTATTATTCAATCAATGAAAATCTCTTAAAGAACATAAAATTAGTTATCTTTCGTCTATTAAAAATGTGTAACATAAATAAATAAGAAAACTACACATAAAATATACCTATCAATCAATTAAAATGATATAAAATTACTTATTGAGATAGTGCTAAAATCCAGGGATGTTCAAGAATCCCATTTAAATCTAACCTTTTATCTGGATTGACAACCAATAAGTTAGAAATTAAATGTTGAGCAGGTTCCGACACGTAACTGGGAAATGTGAATATTGCTTTGCTGATTTTCCTGTACGTTTCATCATAAGAAGTGGATTCAAAAGGAGGCTTTCCAGTTAAAAATTCATAACACAATACACCAAGACTCCAAAGATCAACCTTTTCGTTGTGAGTTTTTCCATGTACCATTTCTGGGGAAAGATAATCTAATGTTCCACAAATAGTAGCTCTCCTCGATGAAGGAGCATGAACTGACCAGCCAAAATCAGCAATTTTAATTTCACCTTTACAACCAATTAACAAATTTTCGGGTTTAATATCACGATGAATAACTTTTTTTGTATGACAATATTTTAAGGCATCTGTAATTTGTGCTAAATATTTTGCAGATCTTTCTTCGGAAAATCGTTTATTTTCAGATGCTTGTAATTCTTTGTAACAAGCTCCTAGAAAACAAAAAAATAGATTAAGGATTAATTAAAAACACAAAAACATATAACATATGTACGACATTATTAAATAACAAGTTTTATAAATGAATTATTTCCCATTTCAAACGAGATTTATCTTTAGTGCATTCTATTTACATTCTCAAGTAAACGTTAATGGTTCCAAACAAATTTCATACAAAATTTAAATTGTACGTTTGAAACCTGATGCTTTTCAGAATTAAGTGGTTTCAGTATCACCAGATTCTTAATAAGAAGAGTATAAAAAATCGTAAAGTGACTTCAAATTGTCAAATTTTATGAAGAACAACGATATGCTTTAAAAATGATGACAAAAAAATAATTACATCTATAACTACTTGTAGATATAGCTGACGAAACAACTAACTACAATCTTTTGTACGAATTTTTGAAATTAATCAAAGTCACGTTATAGTTCTCCCGAAAAGGTAGATACGTTAATTTCGGACTGTGATAATTTTGACGCAAATGTCTCTACCACAACTCCGGCCTATAGAAATTTAACATTTCGAGACATTGTTAGTAAATTAACCGGCAAAGCAGAAACTGCATGTTTAGTAGAAAGGCCAAATGATTGGTCTATTCTAAAAGCTTTAATCACAACCAAATTCAAATCTTCAGAAAATACCGATTTGTTATTCAATAACTAATTTCCTGTATTCGAAAACCTAATGAATTTGTAGATTTTTACAACAAAATTCATATTATTTTAACAAAACTAGCAGGCATTTTTGCAGGCGCAAACGCATTGATGAGTCACTATAAGAAAGAGGCACACAGTATTTTTAAATTATCTGTAGGGGAACTCTATTATTCAGATTCAAAAGTAAGAAGGCCAATTTCTTTATCGCAGGCTCTTAATTATTTTAAATAATTAGACAACGAAAATAAGAAATTAAAGATACATAGGTAAATGGCAGGTACTTCCAAGAAACCACAACCACACAACACTCCTACACAAAAACCACAATCACAGACAAATGACTTTGCACCACGATAAAATTCTAGTCCAATGCAAAAACAACCCTTTACCAACCCCAAAACCTTTCAACAGATTCCTGGACAACAATTTCCTTTATTAAACAAAATTTAAAAAACACACGAATACATTTTCATGAGACTAGAGGTAAAATTTTAGCAAACATCAGTTTTAAAATCGCAGTCAATTTACACAAAGGATCTTGTATTCTCGACCACGAACAAATTGTACAAGGTATCTACAATGTAGATAACGGTTTTGTTGATGTACAATGTCTGAATAACATTTACATCAATGAACCTATGGAGGGTATCTACCCTTAACCAATACATCTACTGAGACAAAGCCCTGATTGATGACAATATTACAAACTGCGACGTAATTAAACAACTCAAGCTAGATTATATGTATAATAATAGTACTAAAAAAGACGGACGCATCAGGAAAAAAGAAATGGCACATGATCATTGACTTTCGCGAATGGAACAAACAGACAATATAAGACAAATACCCTTTACCAAGAATCGAAGACGTTTTAGACACTTTAGAAAAATGTTCCTATTACTCTACTTTACACTTAACTTCCGGCTTTCTACAAATCCCTCTACATGACGATAGTACCGAACAAACTACTTTTTTCGTCTATAAAGGTCATTACGATTACGTACGTATGCCATTTGGACTCAAAAAGGCACCAACTACATTCCAACACATAATGGACACGGTATTACGTGACATCTTATACAAATTTGCCTGTTTGCATGGACGACATTGTCATATTTTCAAAATCATTACCCGAACACTTAATACATTTAAATAAGTTTTTCAAAGACTAAAAGATGTAAATTTAAAAGTATCTTTCAATAAATTAGAATTTTCGAGAAAAGAAGTCCCCTTTTTTGGACATGTAATCACCACCGAAGAAATTAAACCTAACCCGACAAAATTATTTCCATCAAAAAATTTCTAGTTCCAAAAACAGTAGAGTTGAAATCAATTTTAGTCTTGAGCGGCTATTATCGAAAATTTATAAAGTATTATTCCAAAATTATCATTTCCCTTACTAGATGTTTAAAGAAAAAATACTTCTATTAATACTAAAGATCCCTAGTATTTAGAAGCTATCGACAAAATTAAAGGATTAATCACAAACGCTCCAGATTAAGCATATCCAGACTTTAACAAACATTTTTCTATTGCCATCGACGCTAGTGATAAAGGGATAGATTCTGTTATTTTCCAAGAAGGACACCCCATTGCTTTTTACCCTCGTACCCTTAATACAGCTGAAAGAAACTACAGTACTACGGAAAAAGAATTATTAGCTGTAGTTGACTCTTGTAAACATTTTAGGCCCTACATTTATGGTAGAAAATTTACCCTATTTACGGATCATGTGCCCTTAGTATGGTTGCAAAACCTTAAAGAACACAATAGCACATTAATAGATTAGCAAGCTGTTAAATCAAACTTTCGAAATACAATTTTAAAATTAAACACATAAAAGGAAAAGAAAATCATATAGCAGACTGATTTTAGATACCTAGGAAGTCAGATAAATGAGGATGGAAGGAGTAGTAGGGATATAAAGCAGAGGATAGCGCAGGGTCGTGTCGCCTTTAATAAAAAGAAGTCACTTCTATGCTCGCGAACGGTTAATTTAGAAATTCGAAAAAAGTTGTTAAAGGTGTATGTTTGGAGCACGGCGTTGTACGGATGCGAAACATGGACAGTGGGAGCGGCGGAAAAGAAAAGGTTAGAAGCGTTCGAAATGTGGTGTTATAGGTGGATGATGAGGATATCGTGGGTAGAAAAGGTTAGAAATGAAGAGGTATTGGAAAAAATAGGAGAACAGAGGACTCTATGGAAGTCAATAAAAAATAGGCGAGATAGGTTGGTAGGACACCTTCTGAGGCATGAAGGTCTAATCAGAGACATATTAGAGGCAGAAACAGGAGTTAAGAGGGGTAGAGGTAGACCTAGATTAGATTACTGTTCGCAAATAGTTAAGGATGTGGGTTGTTCTAGTTTTAGGGAAATGCGAAGTTTAGCTCAGGATAGGAAAGAGTGGAGGTACGTGTCCAACTAGTCTTAGGACTGATGACCTTATGATAATGATGATGATAGCAGACACACTTTCGCGAATGCCCTTCAAGAAGACGAGTTTAACATGCACCTTTGTGCAGAGCAAGACCTAAACTTCTTATCACCCGAAGAAGCTGATGAACTTCTGGCATTAATAACAATGATGATTTAGTCACCGTGCACTCCAATCAAGACCATGTATCTACAATGATATTATCCGAAGAGTAACCTCTTCAGGTTTTCCTTTTACAATTCAGCTTTAAATTAGGAAAACGAAAATTTACGACTAAAATTACCCAACGGTCGATACAGGATTAACATTACCTTAGAAGACGAGCAAACCCCATTTTGGCTTAAACATCAATTAACAAACACACCCTTTTAAGTACCTCTTCAAGAAGGAATACAATTTGACAACAAAATTAACGACACTATTCAACACTCTGTATATCAAGCACTACACAAATTATTATCAGGAAAAAATAATAAAGTTACCTTCACAAAAACCCTTCTTGATGTAACACTCTATAATAGAGAAAAGGCCTTTACAACCCATTTTAGAACGAAATTTTATTATCCAAATTTAAAAAAAATAATCACATTTTTACATTAATAAATGTAACGTATGTTTAAAATCCAAAAATGAACGAAACCCTTATAAGCCACCCTATAAAGAAACCATGGTAAAGTCAAAACCCTTTGAAATCATTATGATGGATTTGTTTACAATTGACAACAATACATTCTTGACATTTTTTAATCATTTCAGTAAATACTCACATGCTTACCACATCACATAAAAAACGGAATTACTACTGTTAATAAATTAAGACATTTCGGTAACCATCATAATCTCCCAAGTTGATAATGGTACCGTATTAAAGTGGAAAAAACACAAATAATCCGATTTTCTTAAAATTGAAGACTTTTTCGATTTTTTACATGAAAGATGTAGAATTATTGAACCACTAGCGTTAAAATCTCAATGTTATGTTGTAAGCAATCATTCCATCTCAAACATTATTATCAACTGTTGTCCCTGATATACTACACGCATCAGGTCAACCGCATATTTGCAGAATTCTAATTGACAACGGATAGCAATCTAACATTCCTACTGTCAAAAAGTCAAAATATAATAAGTTCCAATTAACAACTACGTTTTCATTGCATCCAAAATTAACCGATCATTTGCCGTCTCGACATATACAAAGAGAAGCGTTGAATATACCTAAAAATATTAAATTAGCTGATTCCAACTTCAACGCCATTTTAGGTTCAGCTGTTTTCCACAAATTTTTATGTGTCGATAAAATATCTCTTTCAGGAAATAACATAACATTGTTAAAAACTCAATTTGGATGGATAATTATTGGTGAGCTTTTTGAAAATTCTCCCCATAGCAAATCAGTCAGTAATTTGTCAGCTAGTCTATTACACCGCATGTATTGTATATTGGACACCAAAACATGAACTTGCAGTAAAACGCATAACCAAAATAACTATTTTGTCCCAAATAGCACAATTATTTGACCCTTTAGGGTTATTAGGTCTTGTAATAATAAAGGCAAAAATATTGATGCAGCGATTATGGCAACTGAAATGCTCTTGGGATGAGACGGTACCGTTAGAAACATTTACGTTTTGAACTAATTTTAGAAATCAGTTACTTCTTCTAAACAACATTGAGTTTCAAAAAAATATTATCAGTAACAATCATTGTTCAATACAGTTGCACGGTTTCTGCGACGCAAGCGAACGTGTCTATGGAGCTTGCATTTACATGCGTTGTATCCATAATCACGGTAACGTAAATATTAATCTGGTCTGTTCCAAATCACGAGTAGCTCTGTTAAAGGTATTATCACTACCTAGATTAGAATTATGCGCAGCCCTTTTGTTATGTAAACTT